CATTGTGTCAAGCACATTTGTACATTTGTTGCCATCATCATTCTCAAAACATTTGCTTTTTACTTGAGCCCTTAATATAAAGCTCCTCGAATAAAAATAATTTTTAAAAGAAAGGAAAACAGGCTCGCTCACGGTCCCAGGGATGGGGCAGGGCATGGACAGGGCCTCCTCTCACTCACCCTGTATCAGCATGGCACCATGCACACGCGACACGACACTAACGGGCCTTGGACACCCAGATTTGGGTGAGAATGTCCTGGGGGGTGGACTGGCGGGTGCTGAAAACTGTAGCCTCAGGGAGAGGCTGTTGTGTGTGGGGGGTGGGGTGCATGAGGCTCTCCAGACAGCCCAGACAAAAGAGATGTTGGGAGGCCAGTCCACCTGTTGGGGAGGCCTGGGTGGCTGGCCCAGACCCCTGTGCACAACAGACTGGGGCACTGGTTTCCAGGGGAAAGAAAATGTGTGGACCCTTAGCTTCTGAACACAGCTGGCACTCAGCCCTCAGAGTGCATACAGCAAAAATCAGACTGAAGCAACAGGAGAGACACAGGCACCTGCGCCAGCTACCTTAGCCTCTGGTTTCAGAAATTCCTCTGGCTCTGAGATTCCAATCTTTACCCTGACTTGAATCTAGGCTCACTTCCAGGCCATCCCCGTCTACCCCTTCCCCCCAGGCTTGAGGAAAAAGACGTCTAAAATACCACCAGGCTTTTCTTGGGCCTATTGCCTATCTCAGACACGGCTTCACGGACTTTGATGGTGGTCACCCTTGACGGCTACGACCCATAAATCATCACATCCAGCTCATCTCTTTTCTCAGCTCTCAAGTTCCCATTCCCCCACCCCTACATCTTGTGCATCCAGCTCAGTTCATCATAGCAGCCTCCCACTGGGTCCCTCTGCTGCCACTCAAGTCTCCACACACTCAGAATAATTACTCTAAAAATCCATCTGTTTAAATCAGGTCCATGGCTCCCACTGCTCTCAGGATAAGACACAAAACTCTTGAGCTGCCCACACGGCTTTCAGTATCTCTGCATTCCCACGTCACTCCCACCCTCCTATGCATAGCCAGCCGAGCGCCCTGGAATTCCACCAACACAGCCCTCACACTGCCCCTCTGCTGGGTCTCCACCCTCCTGTGGTTCCCTCACTCCTGAACTGCCCACAGCAGCATCGTTCCAGATGGCTCTGCTGTGTCCATCACCCCCACTGAACTGTGACATGAGGTCCTGGGAATAATAATTGCATCCTACTCAGGGTTAATACGGGGCTCAGTAAATGCTGGCTAAATGAATCCAGGCCCTGCCTTCAAACATATAGAAGCAGTACATCATGAGAAACATAAGCACATTGTCATCAAGTTGATTCCAACTCAGAGTGACCCCACAAGACATGAGTAAAATGCCCCTTTGAGTTTCTGAGGCTGAAACTTCACAGAAGTTGACAGCTCTATTTCCCTCCCTCGGAGCAGCTGGTGGGCTTACATGGCTGACCAGGTGATTAACAGCTCAACACGTAGTAACTCTCTACACCGCCAGGGATCCTTTACGAAAAGCATGGAGGCAGGAAAAACACAAAACAAACAGAACGTGGGCTCTAGAGCTAGAAGGGTCTCCGTGCCTGCACAGAGCTGGGGGCCCAGACAAGAGCAGCTCCAGAGAACATGGGCCAGTGGCTTAGAAAAGCTTACTTCAAGAGGGGCTTTAATCACTTCTTGGCCTTTTGGCTAAGATCAAGTTTAAGAGGGGCTCTAGTTGATCCCTGAAGACAGATGGTGGATGTTTTTAACCACTAGTAAGTTGAAACCTTTTCCTGGACATGAGTCCTCCAGGGAACAAAGAAGCCCAAAGTCCCCTTTCTATCGCTACACCAAACCACAGCTTCAGATACTGCAGGCGCCTCTCCAGGTCCTAGGGTAATATAAAACGTATACCCCAGGTTTTCATTCTGGTAACATTGTGACCATATACCTGCATTTCTCCCTCTGGGGAGGCCAGGGGTTGAGGGGGAAATGGAAGATGGAGAAGCAATTCTGGTGGGACAGCAGGAAGGCCCATGGCACCATCCCATTGAGTAGCCGGCTTTGAATAGCAAAGGGATGACCACCACCGCCACCAATTTGGTACTGGGTACTCTATTTCTCCTTCATCAGCCTGTCAAGGGCTGTGATTGTATTTTCCAGATAAAAACCACAATGGCTCAGGAGGTTTCCGAGCATAAAGTTGTTAAGTCAGCATTCACACGGGTGACCCTTGAGAGTCATCCCAAGAAACCTGGATGCCCATGCTTACCCAGACAGGCTGCCCACAACTGCCATTCCTCCTCAGAGTTCTGTGGCACGTACACGCAACCCTGGCCCTGGTGTGTGATCTGTCAAGCAAAGGAACAGAAGAGCAAAAAAGAAAAAAGGAGACATCAAACTGATCTTTGTTTCATCCCAGCCAGGAATTAAGCCAGGGGCCCCAAGATATATGACAGGGCCATTTTCTAACCTCCCAATTATTTGCAAGGGGTTCTGCCTCAAGTCATCGTTCAAGTCACTGAAATGAAACAAAACGACTACCAAGTATTGCACTGGGCTCAAACATGAGTGAATAACTCATTGTGAGGATGGCACAGGGCCCGGCAGCGCTCCCTTCTGTTGTGGAGTTGTGAGTCAGATCTGAATTGCCGGCACCTTGACAGCAGCAACAGGGACTGTCCATCTCTCTACTCGCAGACTCTGACTCAGGATGGGACAGTGCCAACAGATTTTGGTGGGTCAGACGGAGTTAAGGAGTCCTGAGAATGGAAGCGCAATGGAAACTGGAGTGCAGTAAGGTTATTTAACTATCCCAACAACCCAGTCAGCTACAGATGAACAGGCTAGTTACAGAATGGGGACTGACATTCAGGGTTACTTTTTACTATGCCTTTGATGCCCACTTTGTGTGCTGTGGCTTCCACCGGGAAAAGCCAGACGCTTCAAATACTCAATATTTGTAACCTCAAATATTCAGACTCTGGGAAAGAGAGATTTCCTGGTCGAGACGTGCAAATTTTCTTTGGTATTCTCTATTTCTACCCCCTCAAAACTGGCTGCCATTGAGTCGATGCTGGACTCGATGGCAGTGAGTTTCGTTTTGTGGATCTGACGAAAGGGCTTCTAACTGGGTGGGGAACAGGAGGGGGAAAGACCTTGCTGAGCCTAACATGAAAATTCTGTTTAGTAATTTTCTTAAGTTGAGACCCATCCCTTTTCCACTCCTGCCTCGCCTACAACACAGGGAAACGGGACACAGGACAGGTGACCCACGGCGACGGCGCTCCAGGGCTGGAACCACGAGGGCTCGCCGGCCCCGCCCCTCTCTAGGCGGAAGCTTCCACGGAAGCCCTTCCCCCTTCCAGGCTGTTACCCCACCAGCACGACAGGCTGGGAAGGACCGATGGTCGAGCCTTTTTAGCACCCACCTAATACCATCCCTGTCAGATAGGGGCAGATAAACAGCCACTCACAGGGTCACAGAAGAGTCCGGGCCCAGGGTCCTCCGGCTGCAACCCCCGAAGGTCGGCCGCGACGCCGGAAGGCTACGTCATCGCCCTGGGCCCGGCGCAGCGCTGACGTCACGAGGGCGGGGCGGGCCCGCGGCGGGACTGGTGTGCATGTCCGGAGCTAGCGAGGTCCCATATGCTGCGGCGCCCGCTGGCGGGGCTGGCGGCGGCCGCCCTGGGCCGGTCCGCGCCGGACGGTGAGTAGTGGAGGCCCCGCAGGGTGTCCGCGGCGCCGGGGCAGCGGCGGGAGGCGTGGTCGGAGGGCCCTCCGCGGCTCCGAGCGGCCCCGTGCGGACTGCAGGCCCGCTCCGAGGGGTTCTGGCTGCGACGCGCCTCGTGGTGGCCTCGGGTCAGCCAGGCCTGCCCTGCATGATTTCGCTTGAGTCACACTTATCCCACATTGCAGTCGCGATCACTGCGGTCTTCGAGCGTGTGCATGTTTGATTCCGCTGTAATTACAGCTCCGTGAAGCGGCCGCACGTGTTGCAGCATCTGCAATACTCTGTCCAGTGCACAAGGAGCCCTGGTGGCATAGTGAGGTATGCGTTGAGTTCGAAACCACCAGCCGCTCCGATGGAGAAAGGTGAGGCCTTCTACTCGTATACAGATTTAAACAAAAAGTACAAAACCACGACGCCACCAACCAGGGCGCCTGCATACAGATTTACACCCTTCGGAAACCCACAGGGACAATTCTGCTCTGTTCCTTGGATGTCGCTGTAAGTCGGAATCCACGCCGTGGCAGTGAGTGAGAGATGGAGTGCAAGTGGCCCGGTCACATGGTAGCAGTACCTTCCGACTGTCAGAGGAAATCCAGTTTTTTTGCACATGAAATTTGCTCATCTCCCCAGATAAGTTGGTTCCTAAGCTCAGTCCTTGGGCCTGTTCTGATTCTTGCCAAAAGCTTACAGCAAGCAAAATGAGGACAATATAAAGACGGTAGTGAATGTTTTCAGATTTACTGCATTTTAAGGGCTGCTCTTTATAGCCATGTCCTTTTTGTTTGGCTTGTGTGCTTTAAAATTGGCTTGGGTAGTTATTTATTTTCTTCCTGTAGACAGAGGTCACCGTGGATTGACATGGGTTTAATTTTACGTTTAGACAAGTTGAAAACTGGCTCCTAGTATCAAACTTCAAAATTTAAAAGGGGTACTCTCCTAGTAAGGAAAACTCCAGACATTCCATAAAACCCCTGCTGTCTGAGCACCTCGTGCTGGTTGTCCCTGCATGATGAGAAGGGGCACAAATGGGAGGAAGGCTGCCCTTCTATGTTGTGGGCCACTCAGCAGAGTTGACTCTCCCTTGGGCCTGGGTTCCAAAGGCCGCTTCCAAGCCTCTAAGGAGGCTGAGACAACAGGACCTGCCTTGGGCTGCCAACTGCACGGCTGCTGGTTCAAACCCACCAGCAGTTCCGCTGGAGAAAGATGCATTCATCTCCTATAACAGTCTGAAGCTGTCAGTCTTTATGAAAACAGAAAGCCTCATCTTTCTCCAGTGGAGTAGCTGGTGGGTTTGAATGGCTCACCTTGTGGTTAACAGCCCAACACGTATCCCCACTACATCACCAGTGCGCCTCGTCCTATTTAAAAGAGGGTTCCTAAAGGCTAAATGGTTTCACAGTGTTACATATCTACAGGATACCAAAAGTTTAAATATCCCCAGAGCCCTGTAGCCAGGGGCAGTGACAGTTCTGCTCACCCTGCCTATTTAGGAAGGCCTGAGGGATGCTGACCAGCCTTCCTTGAGTCCAGTCCAGTTAGTCCCTCTTATGCAGGCACCTTTATAGTGTGGCCTACACTTTACAAGAAGCCTGGAAGGAATTGACTTACCTACTCTGTACTCTCACGAGGATTGAGTCTTTTCTGTTGATGTCTCCTGGACCCTGGGGGAAGATAGTGGTTGGTGACAGTATCCCTGATGTGATCCAGCCTGTGTGATTATTACTGGGGTCGAGGCAGAAGGCCCTTTGGACAGGCTAGGATTGTGGGGGAAACTGGAAAGAGGTACTTCCATTTCTAGAGCAGAAGTCTTAAGAAAAGCTGTTCAGTGGTAGCAAATGGAGAAAAGTGGTGTTCCTTGTTTAGGGAACATTCTAACCAGGGATTCCAGAGCCTGGAGATACACAGTGGTGCCCTAGAGCCATTCCACTTCTGAACATCTATAGGAATCACGAGTGCCCTTGTTCTGATGCTTGTGGATTTTTCGATTTCTTGCCAGGCAGCTCTGGATTGGAATTACAGAATCATCAGAGAATAGAGGATGCAGACTATCCGTGGTTAGAGGGTTCTGTCTCACCAAAAGAAGGCACCTCCAGCCCTAAGGCCCTTAAAGTGACCTTCAATCCATGTTCTCTTTAGTGTGAGGTGTCATCAAGTCTGGCCTCTGTGCATAGGGCTATAGCCCCATTTGGGTGGCATTCTCTGTTGAGCTGACGATCAAGGATTACAATTCAATATAAAGAACAAAATCTTGACAACGGGACCATAGGTAATAATATCATGATAGATGGAGAAAAGTTTAAAAGTTGTCCAGGATTTTGTCTTGCTTGGATCCACAATCAGTGCTCATGGAAGCAGCAGTCAAGGGATCAAAACACACATTGCATTAGGTGAATCTGCTGAATAAGACCTCTTTAGAGTACTGAAGAGCAAGGATATTGCTTTGAGGACTAAGGGTCACCTGACCCAAGCCATGGTCTTTTCAATTGCCTAATATACATGTGAAAGTAGGACATTGAATAAGGAAGACCAGAAAAGAATCAATGCATATGAATTGTGGTGCTGGAGAAGAATATTGAAAGTTCCATGGACTGCCAAAAGGACAAACCGATCTGTACTGGAAGAAATAATGCCAGAGTGCCCCTTAGAAGCAAGGAGAGCTAGACTTCGTCTTACGTACTTTGGACATATTGCCAGGAAAGACCAGGTGAAGTGGAAGGGCAGTGCCCTCGTTAAGATGGATTGACACGGTGGCTACAACAATTGGAACAATTGTGAGGATGGCACACGACCGGGCAGTGTTTTGTTCTGTTGTGCATAGGGCTGCATCTGACAGCATTCAGAGTCTCCACCTTACTAGAGAATATGATTCAAGACACCGCCTTTTGTTTTCTGGAGGTTTTTTGTTTTTTGGTCTGCGTGTGGAAGGAAAACACTCCTCATGAAAGCCACCCCTTCGAGACCTATAAGTGTCAGTCAGTTCTCCCAACTCTTGGCAATAGCTGGAGCTGAATCGTGGCCTAGATGTCTGTCCAGTGAGGGATATGTCCTTGTCCAAAGTGACTTGCGTGTTAGCTCTGTCAGCTTGCTCACTGAATGGCACCTCGTCATCACATAAGCCAAGTGCATTCCTGGAGACCCTGGTCATGTGGTCATATCTGGTAATAGAGGTGGCTGTGGTCATGCCCCTGACCCTTCAGGGCACAGATTGCCTACATGGTGCTGGGTTGTGCTTCTGGTGGAAGCAGTTTGGAGGCAGACTGGGATCCTTGCTAGCCAGAGACAAAGGAGACTAGAGGCTCAGGTGTGGGTGTGTGGCCTGTGTGGGTGGGCTGGGATTGGAGGAAGATGCCACTGTGTATGATACCAAGTTTAGGCCTGTGCACAAATGTGCATGGGGCTAGGTTTTGTGTCTCAGCCCTTTGGGGATCTGATTTCTGGGCCTCCCTGAGATGGCAGTAACAGTGGCCTTCCTGCCCTGGATCCAGCCTGTCCTAAGGTCAGCCAGGCCCTCTCCTCATGGAGAATCCTTTGGGGTCCTCAGAGTCAGTCACAGAGAGGATTCATTTCCCTATGAATGCATCCAATCAAGTATCAAAATCAAACTTAAGATAGCACAACAACAAAATAAAATGAAACCTAATAGAAGATACTGTACATCATCTTCACTTCTCTGTTCTGACATCTTGACCTTGTCCACCTGGAGCTAGGTCAGATCTCACAAGTTAAAAGGACACACTCCTTCAGACGGCCAGGTTGACCTAAGAGACCAGCTATAGTACCCCTCACTTCTCAACTACAGGCTATAAATTTGGGGGTTCCCTCTATCTCATAAGCTCAGGGGTTCCCGGGGCCCGTCATTTCTGACCTGCTGGCTCCTGCTAGCCTTTCAGGTTCAGTAGTTCACTGGAATGGCTCACAGACTTCATGGAAGGCAGACACTTAGGGCTGCAGTTTCGAATAGGAAAAAGGATACCACAAAAGACACAGGGTGAGGTCTGGTGAGAGTGAGGGTTCCCACCATGGAGCCCCCGTGTCTCAAAAAAGTGAGACAGTACCCTGCTCGCGTGCATGAGTAAATTTTTACCAATCAGGAAGCCCAGGGACCTTCTGTGTCCAGAGCTTTGATTGGGGGTCTCAGTATGTGATGCAGGCTTCAGCCCTTGACTCCTGAGGTGATGACAAGGAATTACACAGTAGCTCATTCTGGCCTGACCGGCCCACCCAGAGTCACTGTTTCACCTCACCTAATCCATTAGTTTGCTGTCCTCTGGAGGCACTTACATTCTGCAGGATTTTTTAGAGACTGCCTTTCAGGAATGGAGAGCAAAGATCAAATTCCCTGGGTGAAGTTAATGGAAATTTCCCACCTTCCTCGAAGTGGACTCAAACCAGAATCTCAACCGCCATCAAGTTAATAACAACTCAGAGGTACCCAGTAGGACCCGTGAATTTCCAAGACTAACCCTTCATGGGAGTAGAAAGCCCTGCCTTTTTCTATTGGAGTGGTTAGTGGTTTTGAACTGATGACCTTGTAGTTAGTTAGCAGTTAGCAGCCCAACGACACATAAGCACTACGTCGCCAAGGGGATAGTCTTGAGCACATCACCACCCACGTGTTTACAGGTATTAGAAGCAGTGATGTCCTGGCCTCCTGGGTGGTCTGGGAGGATGCGTGGTGTGCTGAGCCAACTGGGTGAGGTTTCCTGGCTTGTGCTTATGTGACATCAGTGTTCATAGCCTGTGCTGCTCGGCTTCTGCGAGGTGTTTGGGTAGCCCCTCTTCTTGGGCCACACTCTTCTACAAGCACACGCTGCTCTGGTAGGCACATGGGAAGGGGGAAGGGAGCTGGGAACCAGACAGGTGACCCCCACCAAAGGCTAGACTCCCCCTCCTCAGCAGGACACCTATTGGCAGGAGGGGAATAAAGGTTCCTGGGAATGTGTTAGGGGAGTGGCAGGACCGGGCACTGTCTTAGG